TGAGCTACAGAGCCACCTTGCCAATCAGCAGATCAAGTTCACCTACAACCCGCCAAGTGCCCCTCACTTCGGCGGTTGCTGGGAGAGGGATATCCGCTCTATCAAGGCAGCGCTCAGAGTGACTATCGGAGCCCAAACTGTTACTGAGGAGGTGTTGAGGACAGTCCTGATTGAGGTGGAATGTATCCTCAATTCAAAGTCTCTCGGGTATACCTCCTCTGATGTTGCTGACCTTGACTCGATCACCACGTACTGCTTCCTGATTGGCCTTCGAGACACGTCATCTACCAGGAGTCGGAGATGCTGAGTCGGCGACGCTGGCGCCACAGCCAACTGCTTGCGGAGCACTTCTGGAGACATTTTTTAAGTACTATTTACCAGATCTCCAAGCCTGCCTGAAGTGGAAGACTGAAAAGAAGGCATTGGAAATCTGAGATGTAGTCTTGATTGTTGACCTCAACTTCCTCGTGCCCTCTGGCCTGTAGGCAGATCACTCAGGTGTTCCCCGGTGCAGATGGTCGAGTTCGGACAGCCAGTGTAGATGTCAACGGGAAGACCTGCACACGAGTTGTGGCCCATCTCATCCAGCTTCCAGCCCTGCCCGAGGACGACTAAGATGAGATATCGACCTTTGTTAGATGAGCGAATTCAGTTCCTGAATTCGGGGGCAGCTGTACAAAAGGCTCGGTTGTCTCTAAGTCCCGGATGATTCTGACCAATCAGAGTTGTAAGGGAAACAGGTCAATAATTTAGCTCAAAGGGAATCATTTAAGATTTTAAAGGGAACTCCACCATTAATATGCAAGGGAATTAGGACAGAATCACTGTTTTACGGCGGATCACTATCCTACAGAGTGTTCATTGCGGCTGCAATGTCACCACGGGAGGCGGAGTTGAATCGCAGGTTAGAGAGACACAGCGCACGTGAGAAGATGGAAAGTTTGGCAGCTGTATTCTAGTTCATTCAGTGTTACTTTAAAGACATTGACTTTGAGTTTGTACTGGGTTACAGTGTACGTTCATGTGAAGTAAGTAATCGCTGTCTATATATTTTCTGTTATTGTTGAGTGATCAGCTGTTACTCTCATACTGATTAAGAAGTAGCCAATTAGCATAGCACTGCCAGTATTCCCTGCTCAGTTCAGTGCATCCGTGAGTATTTCTGTGATATTCCTTGTTGTGAGATGCTTATATGTATATGCTGTACATTGTGTTATTATTGTGTGTGTGCGTTATGCGACGGTTCTTGTTTGAACGTAGTTATCATCTGCTTAGTACATGTCCAGGTATGTTACCCTGCCCTCGTGCTGCACTCACGTGCGGAATCTTGTGGACATTTAGAGCATATGCGCCCATGTTATATAGTGTAATATAGCGTTGTTATATTTATATTGTGTGCTGTTCAGTGTTTTAATGTTTATTGTGGAACATTTGTATATTCATATCATTTAAGTTTATTTATCTTGTTTAATCCATTTCAGAAACCACACACATGTATACCCACAAAGTCTACAGTAAATCAGACATCAACCAACTCCATTGAGTGCTTCTCTTCAATTAAGAAACCATCTCACTCAGTCCTGACAGACTGCCTACTGTGTTTCACACTCCCAAAATTAATACACCAACGAACCCCTCCATTTCACTGCGACCTTATGTGGATCTCACCGCATGTGCTTTACAGCCACCTGAAGAGTGAAAGAGCGCAAACTAGGACAAAATAAACGTAATTTTAATGAATATTTATTAGTTTATTCAACTATGACTTCATGGGACTGTTCTGTCACTTACACAAAAATTTGTCAGAGTGAACAAAATTAAAACTGACAGCTCACTTACCAACAACTGCCTATTGAATGAACCTCATTTAGGCTAACACTTAATATTCATGAGGCAAGTAGAGCTGGACAAGAACCTGAATAGAGCTGCAGGAAAATTACATCATGTCAACACTGATTGGCTGATGTAAATGCAACTGCATCAGAGACACTTTAAACTTTTAAAGAGTGTATATTCCATTATCTGTGAATTCAAAATGTCATTAATTTTCTATATTTAGATTAGTTTCCTGCTCTTGTACCTCATATGCAAATAAATTTACACTACTGCTGCTTTTGCAGTGTAAATGGTGAATGTGAACATGATTTTTAGTATTAAAAATGATCCTTTTTTATCTGGTTTGGCCCCATGTCTAGTCATAGTCATTGCTGGCCTGGAGGTCCTCATATGTATGTTGATCAGTGAAAGAGAGCGAGAGAAAAATATTAAAGAGAATAAGGTAAAGATAAAATGAGGTTAGAATAGCATTTAAATCAAATGCAAGCATTATTTGTAATACCATTTAATTAAATTTACTGTTATATAAATTGACATTATATGAAGAGAGCAACAGTGCACCTGCATACATAGTGAAATAATATGGACGTTCTCTGTGCTTATGATTTCCATAAATAAAATGTGGAGTGTGCTGTTGCTGCTGTATTTTATTTGCATGTTTTCGTTACTCTGTGTGATAGCACTCACTACACAACAGATACTGTGCTAATGGTAACACAGAATATGTTCAAATTTTGTGAAAATGTTGTTTAGTTTCGAATGCAGAAACATGCTGATGGTCACTGACAATATCAAAGCTGAAAGAAAATGGAAAACACAAATGCCGCTGTGGAAATACATAGGTGGAGTTTCACTTTTATGCTTGACGAGCCACGAACACTCTTGTTCTACATTTGTTCACAAATGTTCTACATTTCATATATTTATATAGCATATATTCAACATTAAAAATACATAAAAAAAACGAAAACCATACCTAATGCAGAAAAGCCACCTCTTTTTCCGAATTGCGTAGATGACCACTGTCTTTCTTTCACTATCTCTTCTCTTCTGATAGTCAAATCGTTCTCTAGGTGCAGTAAAGAAAGATCTGAGAATCTGTCCTGTGCCACTGAAGATCGGAGCCAGATTCTCCTCATAACTGAGAAACTTATTTCTGATGTAGCTGAACCAATGGGCAGCGTGAGTGTAAACTGCAGTAGTTTGAAAAAGTTTCGTAGCCTACTTCATCTTTAAGTTTCTCAAGAGTAATCGGCGATGCAATCGATTTCACAAGATCCACTTCAGCTGTCACAAGCCCAGGGTGAATCTTAAAGGGGTCATCAGATGCCCATTTTCCACAAGTTGATATGATTCTGTAGGGTCTTCTGTAACATAGTGTGGTTAAAATTACTCAATGGTAGTGTAAAACAACACCGTTTTTACCCTGTTTTATTGCATGCTGCTTTAAATGCAAATAAGCTCTGCTCGCCCCGCCCCTCTCTTCCGAGCCGCTCTCTGAGAGATGGTGTTCTGACGATTTGTGCTACCCTGTCAGATTTTGCTACCTCCCATTAAATCAGATGGTAGCATAATTTGATAGCGAAAAGTGCTACCTATCAGATTTTGCTTCCAGCATAATATGTACACCTACCCCAACCCTAAACCTGCCCTTACAGTAGGATAAATACAGTGTTGGTAGCATAATCTGATAGGTAGCATTATTTGTCCGAACAACGGTAAACTTTAGCCACATTCATCGTGAAACTTGCTTACTAGCACGTTATTAGGAAAGGCGATTTGTAAAGATTCATTAAAAAAACCTTACACTTACTACTTCTGTAGGTGAAGCTGGATCACGAATGATTTGTGCGAATATAAATCCATTTAGGTAGGTCGGGGGCACATTCCCTTCAAAAACAAATGTAATCCACTGCATCTTCAGCGGCTCAGATGTCGGGAGTAAATGACGACTGCTATGTTCATTATTACATCCAACAACAGAACACCTCAATCGCTTAGGAGACATTTTTGTCTACATCTGCTCCGGCGTCAGAACAATAATGGCGGACTGATGACAGCTCACTCAGGGCGGAGCTAAGGTAAGACACCAGTCCAGTCTGTGCTGAAACGCTACTGTCAATCAAACTATCGTGGGAGGGGCCTGTCTGTGTGACGGCATCTGAGATCGGCTCAATTTGAGAAAGGGGAAATGATTCAACGAGATCAAAAAAAAAACACTGGGTGGACGTTTATCATTATAGGGTGGTTGTGTACACACACTGAAACACACATTTCAGTTCAAACAACTTGTAAAAGTGCATGTAGCATCCATCCGATGACCCCTTTAAGGCTTGCGTACAAGCTTAAACTGAATACTGCATCACACGCCACACTCAAGGCCATGTCCAATTCAGCCAGAAATGACTCTGTCCACCACATTTTTATTATCGGGTTTATAAAAAAAACAACAATGAATATTTGTTAACTTGCTAATGCGGGAAAATAATGAAAAGAGAGTCCTCTCATGTCCTCTCAAGTTGAGAATCATTCATGACTCGCGAGGATATGGGGCTTAAATAATTAATTTAGCCCAAAACATACTTATTCTTACCACTAAAATAATAAGATAATACAAATAAAAGGAGAAAATGTGAATTCTTTAATTTTTTATATTTTATTCATAGCTCAGAAAAAAAATCTTTATTGGGTGCCCCCCCCCTCCCTAAACTCCATCTATGCAGCAGATTCTCCAGTTTCTACCACATTCAAATGAACATACTTCCAAAGAATTACAGCAACAAAGACCAACACAGAGAACAAAATAAAAATAAAAATGTGAATAAGGAAGAAAAATTAAAAGGGCTTTATTTTTAGAGTAATAAACAAATGAAGTGACGTGCTGAGTGACGGATGAGAGCAGATATAATAATCATATAGTCTGAAGCTGCAGACAGAAACATCAGACTCAGGACAGAAACACACGACGTCTAAAGTAAGAGCAACTCACATCTTCATTCTTTAAATTAGACTTTGAGATATTAATATTGTCTTAATGATTGTGTACGGTGCATTTATGTTCTAGTTATGATGGATTTTTAATTATCACTGAAATCATGTTTTACTCTAAAATTAATTACTGAAGATTTAAAATCTGATTTTATCTGTATTATTCTTCCTCAGAAATGGAGCAAATGCTATATTTCATTCTTCTTCTCATTGGTGAGTGTTTGTGGTTTTATTTATGGTTTATAGTTTCATTAGGTCTGATCCTGTTATGAAAAGCATTAAAGCAAAGCCTCTCTTTCACAGCTCTCTGCTCCGTATCTGAATGTGTTCAGCGTCAGTATCACTTTATAAATGAGAACAAGACCTGGACTGAAGCTCAGAGATACTGCAGAGAGAATTACACAGATCTGGCCACCGTTGACAACATGAACGACATGAACGAGCTGAACGAGAGTATGAATGGTGGAGGTGTTCAGTATATCTGGATTGGGCTGCAGAAGACGGGTCGTGATAAATGGCAGTGGTCTTCAGGGGAACCTGCGCTCTATCTGAACTGGGCTACTGGACAACCAGAAGGCAGAGATTATTGTGCTATGATGTTAAAAGGACAATGGCATGATTTGCCATGTAGTGATAACCGACATTTCATCTGCAACAAAAGTGAGTGCAGCTATTTAAAATTAATTTATATAAATTCAACAACCATTCATTTATAGATGTGCATATCTTAATGCACTACTAACCCCTAATTTAATTTGATTATGAATATAGAAGTGACTGTATATTTGTTACACTTTCATTGTTAATACAATTTCTGTGTAGACATTTTCCAAAAAAATTAAAATAAAATAAATAAATCAAAATCAAAATTAACATAAAAACTAAACAAAAAAAATACTTAATCTTTTGTTGTCACAATGGAAACCTACAGAGGAAAAAATAAATCACAGAGAGAAAAAGAACTAGTTATTAATAATCATAATAATAACTGTAATGTTCATAAGAAATATGTACAGCAGTGACTAGAGGTGATCGAGTTTATTTCAGTCTTCAGTATCTCAACACAAACCTGTAATAGCTTAAGTTTACTCGTACATGAACTCAAGTCTAGTTCATGATAGTCCATTAAAACAAATAATTTATTAACTATTAATTTATAAATGAGTAATCTACAGTCCAGGTAAATGCTTCTATGGATTAGTTAATAACATATTTAGCTGCAGTGTATCATCTTCCTCTGTTTGGCGTTTCTCTTTGTGTCTGAATCAAGTATTCATAATGAATCAATAGAGAGAGCTTTAAAATCATCACAATGTTCTCCAGTGTTACTTCATGTTACATCTTTAAAACAATCCTGAAAATATTGTGAACATTCGATATATCACCAGCTGTAGAAGCAGCTCGAGTCTTTGAGTGACGTGTTTCTGATGTTTCCACCGCTGCTCCTGTTCACATCCAAACCATAAAGCAGCGTAAGAATAATGAACAAACTGATTCATGAATCTTTGTCCATTTGTTTTTCTTAAAGCAAACACAGGACTCGTCTTTGTTAATCAGGAGAAGAACTGGAGAGACGCTCAGAGTTACTGCAGACAGAATCACACTGATCTGGTCAGTGTGAGAAACCAGAATGAAAGTGAACAGGTTGAGAAGCTCATTAGTGATAATCACTCATCTGGATCACATGTCTGGATCGGTCTATTCAAAGTCAGAGACTCATGGCAGTGGTCAGATCAGAGTAACTCCTCATTCAGATACTGGAATTCTACTCAACCTAACAATAATGAAAATAATGAAAACTGTACAGCAGTAAAACATGACCCTCCTGGACAATGGCATGACATCTCCTGCACCAACACATATCCTTTTGTGTGTCATGATGGTGAGTAGATCCTCACAAAACACACACAATCCATCCATCACCTCCAGATCTCTTAAAGTTCACGCTACACGTCTGACATGACAAACTCATCCACAGTGTTTGTTCTGCATGTTGTTTTTGATCAGTCTCTCTCTAGTTTCTGCTTGTGCTTTGTTTGGTTTCCAGATAAACTGATTGTGATCAGAGAGAATCTGACGTGGTCTGAAGCGCTGAGATACTGCAGACAGAATCATGTGGATCTGGTCTCGGTTCATTCAGAAGAGATTCAGCGTCGTGTGATGAACGTGGTTAAACGGGCGTCTACTGCGGCGGTGTGGTTGGGTTTACGTCACTCCTGCACTGTGGGCATCTGGTTCTGGGTGAGTGGAGAGACCGCGTGCTATCAGAACTGGGCTCCAGGGAACGGCACATCAGAGGAGGACTGTGAACACACAGTGAGATCTGGAGCAGTTCAGTCTGGAGGAGATCAGCGCTGGATCAGCCGTCCTGAAACTCACAAACTCAACTTCATCTGCAGCAGATATTAAGAGTGAAAGATACACAGACCTTTCATGTAAGAAAACAAGTGCTTGTGTGTTCACTTCCTTTAACTTCATTTTCATTCATAACTTTGTTAAATCATAATTTTACATATAATAATTTCAGTCTCAGCAGGCAGTCGCACCTAAGGGTTAAAAAGGCAGAAATCTTTTGCTCAGATGTTTGTTAATATAGTTCAAACGTATTCTTCAGTAAACTGTTATTGAGCTGTAAATTGTCTGATTTGTTCTGTTGAGGGTCTGTTTATCTTCAGGTGGATGAATTTCTGTTGATGCATCAATGTGATTGGGTTTGTTTGCTCCATTTTAAGAGCCAAAGGCAATAATTAATGTTAAAGTATATTTTGCTTTTGTAAACTTTTTTTTTTTAACTAAACTCAGAATTATTAGATATTAATCTGGTAATTGAATTGTGTGGTATCGAAGGGCATCATATGTACTCATCATTAGATATTATGAGATAATTTGTGTAATTGAAAAGTATGATATGAGTTTTCTAAATTCCTTATTCGTGTTTTATGGATCTTGCTATGTTGTTGCAGCTGTTTTCTCTCTTATATTGAGTTTCATAAATCAATCATGTCTGATTAGAAATGACTGTTTGAATGTGAATCAGTGGGAACCAACATTATGTGCCTCTGCTAAATTAAATATTGTTTATTCTTTAAGGAGTGAAGGTTGGGTGTAAAATTTCTACAATCATTTTGTGCTAAACATAAAATAACATGTCAACAACAGCAGCTCAAATAAACTCCTGAACAACCTGCAAGCTCGTCTCTTGACTGTTTCCCAACATCAGAATGATCACTAAATTATAAAATCCAACATGGTTTAAATCATAATTCAGAGAGATTAAGGACACATAAACTGCTTCCCAATTCAGATGCTGCATCCTTTAAAGGCTTCATTCAAAGACAGAATGCGTCACAGCAGCGTAATGAAGGCTTTCCTATTTCAAATGAGTATTTCTTTATTCGGGCTGTGAAGGAAAGAATGAGTAGACCCTTCTCAGTTCAGCATATCCCAAGATTCATTGCACACCAATGATGACTGAGGCTGCGTCTGAAACTGCATACTCACTGAGTAGGTCCTTAAAAGATAGGAGCGACAGGTTTAATGAATTTACTTGCAAATATCTTGACATTGATTAAATTTGCTAATTTGTGGTCTTGTGCTGCCCATTTATTTTGTGATTGTAGTATAACCAATACATTTTGTGTTGATTTAAGTTCTTATATTTTTAACCCTACTAATGTGACCCACAGTTTTATTCTTAAAGGTAATCTTTTTTTATTATGAAAACCCAAAATCACTATCTCTTGAATATGTTGTTACTGTAGTTTCTTTATTTTATGTGCAACATTTTTCATCCACAATTGCAGTGGATCAGAGATCTACACTGCGGGAACCAGAGCACGGGTCTCCAAACTCTATCCTGGAGGGCCGGTGTCCTGCGGAGTTTAGCTCCACTTGCCTTAACTAGTGATGTTCAGTTCTTGAACAAATCGTTCTTTTGAGCCAGTTCTCAGGAAGTAACCAGTCGAGCCGGTTCACAAAATCAAACTGAATCGAACTTCAGTTCCGGGGTGATGACGAAAGACGCACAGCCAAAATAGCACGTTCAACTCAAAAAGATCCGAATGAGCCAGTTCAACTAACTGTCAAAGTTTGCAGAGGATTACCAAGGATTCTGATGTGAGTGAGTCGATGATACTGTGCAAGCCTGAGGCACATACTCAAATATGACTACTGTTAAAATAAAATAAATACTGTTAATAAATAAAATTAAATAACATTTTACTTAAACCTGCAAAAACCTTTCTGTCGAGAGATGTAAATAAATATTACTATAGTTTATCGTGCATGCAGATGATATTTTAAGTTAAGTGAAATCAATGAGTTTATAAGACTGGTTCATTCTTTCTTTATAATTTAGATATGTAGAACATATCCACATTTGTGCATCAGTGTCTGTAGTGTGTGCTGTATGTGCGAAACATTTAGGAATTTTATCCAAGGCTAGTCAATACTGGTCAGTCGTATCTGACATAAAGGATCCGCAAATGAAACTGTGACCACAAACACCATTAACTAAAGTGAATTAAATTGCAACAATCCGCAATATGCGTTTACACAAATAACTTTGTATTTGAATGTTTCAATATGTGTTGACACAAATTACTTTATTTGAATGTTTCATTGATACAGCATGTCACTGAGTTGTTTTAAAAGAAATGAGTAGTGACATAATGCTTGATAACGCCAGGAACAGATGAATCAGCTTTTTGAACTGGTTCAATGAGCGAAAAGAACAGGTTCGCGGAAATGAATCGGACTTTGCATCACTAGCCTCAACACACCTGCCTGGAAGTTTCAAGTATGCTCAGTAAAACCTTAATTAGCTGGTTCAGCTGTGCTTAATTAGAGTTGGAGCTAAACTCTACAGAACACAGGTCCTCCAGGACCAAGTTTGCACACCCCTGGTGTAGAGAATCACAAAGCCGTAATCATGCTTGAACTTTGGAGGAGACCAAAGCAATTTTTTGAATAAGATAATGGCTTTTTTATTTAAAGAAAATAAAAATGTAGGGTCTGGACCAATCAGACACACACATTTTTTGTTATATTTAACAAATACTCTGTAACACCCCTCAGTCAACAAACCAACCATGAGGGTCTATGGACCTTTCCCCCGAAATGCATCTAACACCTCAGAAAGGCAGAACAGGCCTCTGGTTCCATTTCAACCAACGCTGATATCACTGGTTTTATTGCCCAAAGGAATGCGGGCAGAGCACAACTCACAATTCATTTACCCTTAGGAAAGACACACAATGCCCATAAAAATGGAGTCTTCTATAATTAATTCATAGGAAAACCTATCTCCTCAGGACAATGTGTATACCATTACTGTTCTTGTATATTGTCTTTTGAATTGTATACTGTTTTGTGTGTGTTATGATAGATCACTAATTAATATAGCCCCACCGATACCATGTTTAGTCTTTTTGAATTTGTCTTCTGATGATCTAATGAGCGTTTATATTATATGTGGGTACATAGGCAATATATTAGTGTTCTAAGAATCTTTAGTAATTTTGATTCGAGTTCCATATGCAAATTACCATGCTCTCACACAAAGGGTCATAAAATCCATCCTGAGAGGTGTGAATCTTCTCAGACCTTAAAAGGCTCACACACAGTTCCGCCATGTTGTTGTTTTTTCTTCTGCTAAGTCTTCTGCTAAAACCTTCTGATTGCGGCCCATGTAGAGAGCCTGAGCCGGTGCGGACATGCCAGGTGGGCTCCAACACATAGCCAGTCAGTCTGCGGTTCTGTTAGATTCTGAGAAGATGAGGATGTGAGCTAGAAGTCTTCTGTACCTTACGTCTGAGCCAGGCCTAGGGCCTTGACTTTCCATTCACCAAAGATCCTAGGATCTCAGCTGATGTCTCTCTTAGCTCTTTTTCATTTTCCACTGGGAAGAAACTCCCAATCACCATCGAGCCAGAACATATTTGGGGTTCATTACTCTTCAAACCCGGAAGAAGGTGATAGCGACTCCTACACCACTGAACCTCCAAATCATCATCAATACTTTCATCCGAGACTGCATCCGTACGCTTGTTCCAGGCCAAGGCAATGCAAGTATCGTACATTTAACTAAACGAAACAGAGGTTTAGTATAAGCTGTAGACCCTGTTCTAAAACGGTGCTGATGGTTTTATTCAGGTGGTTAACCGACTCTTCTCATAGCTTCATTCTCTGGTTTTCCTGATGGTTTCATCCATCAAGTCTCATTTGCCCTTTCCCTTGTATGAATGATTGTTTGTTTGTTTGTTAAGGCGGGCGTACACAGTGCGATTTTTGCTGTCATACGAGCTCGCAGGCGATTTTTTTCTCTCGGAAGAAAATCGCAGATGTTCCCATGGTCGCGGCTCGTACCGTGTGAGAAGAATTATGGGCCGATCCGAGACGTTATGAGCACCTCCAGTCCTCCTGATAATTTTCAAACATGTAAAAAAAAAATCAGATGCTGTCGGTTTAAATTCATGGCGTTTGTGCCGTTGAACAAGACGATTTGGTGATCCATCTGAAGTTGACCAATCAGAAGATGACAAAAACCATATAGTCTATAATAATTTTAGTTTAAATATACAGTTCTATTTTTTATTTGTTATTCCGAATGTGCCAAATTTGCCGTTCAGCTTTATGAATGAATATGCCTGTTGTATTTCTGGCAAAACGAGCAGAAATTCAGAAATGGCATGCTTTTCTCTCCTTTTCAGCCATTCTCTTTGCCATGTGCTCCATTTGCGTGTGCTGTAAGCTTGCATCGGTCTCTTAGCAATGTCTGATCCCGGGAGGGGCGAGCAGGCTTTTCCGGTTCAATCTGATAACAGCACACACGTCACAGACCTTTGTATAACTATTTAGCAGCCATACAGGCTAAGCTAAGATCCAACTGCCCAACTACCTCAACTGCTAGCTGTTAGCATCTGACTAACACTTAGATAGGTGTGTGTAAATTGTAACTTTAAAACCACTTTAAAAACAATCTATCTATCTCTCTCTCTCTCTCTCTCTCTCCCCTCACTCCTCGTTTCACTTCCTGTTTATGTTATCACCTTCTCTTTGGATTCAGTTAGGTTGGCCCCTCCTCAAATACTTTGGTTTTATTTTTTATTATTTTTATTTTGACTTCATTCTGCCTCTCTTTGATTTTATTTTAATTAATTTACCTTTCTTTAGCTTGAATGTACTGTAGCGAATTTAGCTCACAACAGGAAATATGAATAATTAACCATAACTAGTTATGATTAATTATTAATATTTTAGATCCACTGTAGATATTTAGCTGACCACTCAGGGTCAACTGTCTTGTCAATTCTAAGACGTTAATTTCCTGGTTAAGGGAAATAACTTTCTTACTGTACAATTCTATAAGCTTGTAACGTAAATCTGCATGATTATTGACTCCGGTTATGAGTAAACAATGAACACGTCAAGTGTGATACAAGTAAGGTTTTATTAACTACATAAACACTTAAACTAGTCTAACATACCACATAAACACATTAAGCCGGTCTAACATAAACATACACACACACACACAC